AACACAATCGTCTGATAATTGGTTAGCAATTAATCTTCTGTAAGGACTGATTGATCCTTGTTGGCACGCTTAAAATTACAATACTAACCTTCAAACGCCAAAAAAAGCCAACAAATGCTGATGTAAACTTTAACATCGCCTTGTCACAGTGGTAATGAACATACTATTCAATATTATATGGGTGTGTGAAAAAAATTAACACCGATCGACAACATAATGACAATTTTTCATTTCAAATTAATGTGAATATTAATATTGATTAATTATATGAACATTTACATCATTTGTATATCAGACACATTATCAATCTCAAAAAAATATTACTAAACTGAAATCCAAAGTATTGTTTACCAAATTCTTTTAAACAAGCTACTAGTAAAAGTCCTCTTCATTGAGACTGAAAGAACTAAAACACAATCGTCTGATAATTGGTTGGCAATTAATCTTCTGTAAGGACTGATTGATCCTTGTTGGCACGCTTAAAATTACAATACTAACCTTCAAACGCCAAAAAAGCCAACAAATGCTGATGTAAACTTTAACATCGCCTTGTCACAGTGAAAATATATTTACTATTCAATATTATATGGGTGTGTGAAAAAAATTAACACCGATCGACAACATAATGACAATTTTTCATTTCAAATTAATGTGAATATTAATATTGATTAATTATATGAACATTTACATCATTTGTATATCAGACACATTATCAATCTCAAAAAAATATTACTAAACTGAAATCCAATAACAAAAAATCAAAACTAATGGCAACAATAAAATCATAAATTTAAAAAACTCAATCTCTTAAAAAATAAAAAACCATCACCCACATCCTCTTCTATATCTTTATCTTCATCATTATCATTGTTATCAGCACCTCTTGCAATTGCACAATTATACCAAACCAAACCCACCTCATCTCTTTACAAAGAAAGCCTCATTACTATACCAAAGACCTCACTTCTCACAATTCCAACACTCATGTCTTAGATTTCCAAACAATATAAAGTGTAAACATTCACATTGATTGACAACACAAATGACAAATAATGATGTGATACTATTAACAAAAAATCAAAAATAATGACAGCAATAAAACTAGAAATCTAAAAAATCTCAATCTCTTTAAAAATAAAAATTATCACTTACATCCTCATCTTCATCATTATCACTATCATTAACAACCCAAGCAATTCCACCATTTCACCGATCCAAATCAAACCAAACCCACTTTCGAATAACAAGTTTGTAACAAAATCTACTGGATACAAACAGAGTTTCAACCTGCAATAATGGAAAAGCATAAAGCTTTGAACACAGAGTAAAAACAGATGAACACAGAGTTTCGAACACAAAGCGACAATGGAGGAAGACAAAGCTTGAAACAACTACTCATTCTCTCCTTTGATCAATATCTGACTTCACAACAATTATATAAAAATAGAGCACAATCTTGACCCTTCATCTTTCCCAAACATCAATGAAACCCTAACAAAAATGTGTCTATCAGGAAGTAACACACAACGAAGCAATCTACAATAACATTGAAACTAGGGGTGCAACTCGGGCGGGTTCAGTCAGGTTGGAAGGTTGTCCAAGCCCAGCCCAAGTTGTGCTGAGACCTACCCAAGTCCGCCCAAGCCCAAATTGTAACCCGAGGTTGTCTGCCCAAGCCCGACTCGAGTTAAACCCGAATTGCCTGAATTGCCTGAATTGTAAATGAATTTCAGTTTTTTGTGTTTCCCAGCTACATTATTAAATTATTAAAATTTGACTCTATTTACAATTTTTTTTTTAAATAGAAAATCATTAATACCATCAAAACAAATAATTTATATAATGTAAGAGAGATGCCACTATAGTAGTCCTTACAATTATGAGTGAAAATAAAAAGAAAAAAAAGTAAGATTTTATGTTATTTTTATATATAATATATATTCAATATGAGTTAATAATATAAATTATTTTAATATCATGTAATGGCTAATAATTTATATATGTATAATTCTGGTTTCGGGTTGCTCGGGTTACTTGACGTCTTTGTCCAAGCCCGCCCAAATTTAATTCGGGCTTCTGAATTTTTGCCCAAGCCCGTACCGAATTTGAAAATATTTTGTCCAAGCCCTAAAAAAATTCTGACTGGGCTTGGGTTGCTCGGGTTGAGCCCGCCCAAGTTGCACCCCTAATTGAAACTAAATCACAATCAACTTCGTAAATCAAGGAAACTACCAAAATATATTGGTATATTCTTTTTATGTGTAATATATATGAACAATAAATATAAGAGTATAAGAGTAACAAATAATTTAAATCAGGAAAAAAAAATTTATGGAATAAATGTATAAATACATGGGACTAGATAGGTTATAAATTGGGTCCAGCTTGTCTCAAGTTGAGATCAAGACTAGACCCGTCCAGTTCGGCCCATGGGGCCTATTTTTTGGGCCCGTTTTGACAATCCGAACCGTTCAATGTGCAGAACTCGTCGAGTACTACATGTCTGTTAAAAATCACATTGATCGGATATCAATAGCTATGTGATCAAATCAGTTTTGTATAAAAAAATAGACAGTGAAACAATTAACAGTTGATAAAAAACTGTTTTGTTCACATAGCTATCGATATCCGATCAACGTGATTTTTTGCAGGCATATAATACTTGACGAGTTCTACTCATTGAATGGTTCAGATTATCAAAACGGGACCCGTGGTGGGCCCCCACGGGCCCAACAGCACAGTCTAGTCCGATCTTGGACTGGACCAAAGCCACTGCCTATAAATTTCCTTAATGGACTTATTGAGTTAGAACACCCCTAAATAAGATTTATCAATAAAAAAAACCCTAAATTTAATTAACCCTAGTTTTTTTTTATAAAATAAAATTAATTCTATTATATAAAGCACAAATTTAGACCACATATATTAAAACTTTGTTACACTTTTTTTTCTTTTTCAGCAATACCTATGAAATAATTGAAAAACTATCATAGTAAATAAGATGACTTCTCTCTAATTAGTGATCTAACTAAAGAGGGGTTGTTGAGCTTCGTGGGCCCATTTCGGGGCCCCCCTCGATAATCCAATTATTCATTTTATAGAAACCGTTGAAAACATAATTAATATTAAAAAAATTTGATTGATCAGATATTGATAATTATACATTTGTTGTATAAAATTTTACAAGGAGTATAATTTTGATAATACACCATCTCAAAATTTCAATCAATCTAATTTTTTATATGAATGTTCTTCTCAAAATTCATACAAAATAAAAGATTCAAATTATTCAAACTAAACTCTAAAGTGGGTCTAAAAAACCCTACAAGTTGGATTAGGAGCTCACCCCATAAAATAACTACTAAATATTTTCCAAACTTATCTTTCTCATTAATCATGTAACTTAAAAATTCAGATATAAAATTACAAATGCATCTATGTTTGGTAACGTTTACGTTTTCAGTTTATATTTACAAAAATTTTATAAACTGATTTTTGTTTATTTTTAGAAAAACATAAACTACAAACGCATTTGGTAATTGACAAAATGTTTAAAAAAAAATTTAAAAATATAAAAAAGACTAAGAAATGGCAAGTGGCGGCAGAAGACGGTGGTGGAAAGTTGGTGACGGTGGGGTGGTGGGTAGCTGGTGTAGGTGGGTGGTGGTGGTCGGTGGGTAGGTGACAGTGGTGAGTGGTGGGTGGTAGCGTATGAGTGGTGGGTGGTAGCGTGTGGGTGGTGGCGGGGGGTGTGGTGGTGGGGTGGTGGGTGGGTGGTGACAGGTGGGTGGTAGGTTGGTGATGGTGGGGTAGGTGGGTAAGCGGTGGCGGATGGTGGTGGTAGCGAGTGGGTGGTGGTGGTAGTGGTGGCGGCAAGTGGTGGTAGCAAGTGGTGGCGGGTGGGGTGGCAGGTGGTGGTGTGGGTGGGGGCAGGTGGGTGGCATGGAGATGGCAGGTGGTGGCGGGTAGGTGGTGGTGGCAGGTGGTGGTAGTGGGTGGGTGGTAGTGGCGGGATGGTGGGTGGTAGCGAGTGGGTGGTGGTGGTGGTGTGTGGGTGGTGGTTGCGGATGGCGGGTGGCGGGTGGTGGGTGATGGTTGGTGGTGGGTGACAGTGCGGGTGGTAGCGAGTGGGTAGTGGTGGTGGTGGTGGTGGCAGGTGGGTGGTGGTGGTGGGTGTGGCTGGTGTGGTGGTGTGATGGTGGGTGGGAGGGTGACGGTGACGGGTGGTAGGTGGTAGCGAGTGGGTGGTGTTGTGTGGTGGTGGTAGGCTGCGGGTGGGTGATGGTGTTGGTGGGGTGGTAGTGGCGGGTGGGTGATAGTTGGTGGGTGGTGGTGGTGGTGGTGGTGGTAGGTAGTGGTAGCGGGTGGGTAGCAGGTGCTGGGTGATGGTGGGTGGCTAGTGGTGGCAAGTGGTGGTTAAGTTGATGGTTGCAAGTAAGGTGGCGAGTGGTGGTGGTGTGGCGGGCGGTGGCGGGTGGTGGTGGTGGGAGGTGAGTGGTGTGGTGGGGTGGGTGATGGGTGGTGGGTGGTGGGTGGTGGTGACGGTAGACGGTAGTGGAAAATGGTGACGGGTGGTGACTAGTGTTAGGTGAAAAAAAAAAAAAACTGAAAACTCAAAACGGAAACACATTTTTTGTGTTTTCATTTTTTTTGGCCAAATTTATAAACTGAGACCACTTATGACCAAATCAAAAATTTTATTAAACAAATTTTTATTTAAATTTTTTAAAATTTTATAAATATAAACTGAAAACTGAAAACGAGTGTTACCAAACGGCACCATCACGTCTCGCATCTGCACTCACTATTAACGGTGAATTTAGATGTAAAAATACAAACGTATAACGTTTACACTCACCGTTACTAAAAAAAAAAATAAATAAAGAGAGAGAGGAGAGAGGGAAGGAGAGAGAAAGTCCATAAGAATAACGGCCACATAGTGGAACCTTTTTTCACTTGGGAGTTGTGGGAGGTTCCTTAATAGCTAGACAAAGGAAAGAATAGTTAGAAGAAAGAAAGAGTGAGTGATGAGAGAGAGAGAGAGAGAGAGAGAGAGTGGGAGAGGACAAAGGACAGTTAGTTTTACTAGGAAAGGAGCTTCCTAAGCCGTAGGGATGCTCATATCAGACAATTCTCAGCCCTTCGATTCTTTTTGGCGTAGGATTCTCAGTTGAGTACACGTGCTTCCTATCCTTTCCTTTACCCCTCTCTCTCTCTCTCTCCCCCTCCTTTTCTTTCATCTTTGCTTCCATGCATGGATTTCTCCTCCAAATATAGTCTTCCTATGCAGAGTTAGAGAGAGAAACTAAAGACAGATGAGAGAGAAACATAAAGGCTTTTAATTTTTCTCCTTTGCCTTGTTCATCTCCATCATTAAGCAACAAAGGCAACACAACACAACCCATCTCTTCAAATTTGATTTTTTTTTTTTTTTCTTCAAAACTTTTTAACTACCAGTGAGAGAGAGAGAGAGTCACTCAAAATATTCAATACTACTCTGTTTCTTTGCTTCTTCTCTACATCAGATCTTGTTCTTCCCCAAGAATTCAATGAAATCTGAGATGGGTTCTTTAGTTCTCCAATAAAACTCGTAACTCACTTGAATTTTCTCATCAGATTTCACTATTTCAGCTTTCAATTCTAGTTTTCTGATCTGGGTTTTTCGTGTTTGATCAGCATTTTGGATCGGAACAGAGTAATTCAAGTTCCTGTGATTAGATTTGAATTCTCTGAGTCTGTTTTCTGATCTGTGTTCTCTCTTTCGAAGTTTATTGTAATTCTCATCAATGGAAGAAGATCAAGAGTTCAAGCATTCTTGCAAATTCTGCAACAAGAGCTTCCCTTGTGGAAGATCATTGGGAGGTCACATGAGGTCTCATGTCATAAATTCCTCTGTTGAAACCGACGAAAAGCTCACCAAAAAGAAGCTCTCATCGATCAACAATGGCGAAAACAATGCTAGTTATGGACTCAGAGAGAATCCCAAAAAGACTTGCAGATTTGCAAGGTCAAATGGAGAAGATGCTATGTTTCATGACAAGCTCTGTAGAGAATGTGGCAAAGGCTTTCAGTCATGGAAGGCCTTGTTTGGGCACATGAAATGTCACTCTGAGAGATTTTCATCAAACAGTGCTGTGGAAGTCATCGACAGCCAATCGGACAACGAAACAGCGGGGGCGGCACCGAATCGGAAGAAGAGATCTAGGAGAATGAAAATGACAAGGTACAACAACAACAACATAGCCACAACAACAACAACAACCTCTTCCTCTGTTTCTGAGATTGAGCATGAACAAGAAGAGGTTGCTATGTGTTTGATGATGCTTTCTAGGGACGTGGGTAGTAAATTCAATGGTTTGAGCTCTGTTACTGAGTCTTCTGATAACAATTTTGAGCTTTTGGAAGCTGGATCATCAATTTTTCCTAGAAAAATTGCTAAAAGGGGTATTATGAATTCTTGGTCTGATTGTGGTGAGGCTGTGAAGTTCAAGAAGCTGAGAAATGGGAAGTTGGGGTCTAAAATCTTGGATTCTATTTCACAATTGGACACAAATCAATCAGATTGCGTTGAAAAACTGTTTTCAAGAAACGGGTCTAAACTTAATAAGTCAGATTTTGAAGCATCTGAAGTTGAATTGGGAAAGGATTTGATGCTAGATCAAGCTGAGAAACAGAGTAAATTTGAGTGTACAACTTGTAACAAGACATTCCATTCATACCAAGCTCTTGGGGGTCACAGGGCAAGTCACAAGAAGATCAAAGGCTGTTTCGCTTCAAAAATCGATAGCAGCCCTGAAAACAGTTTTGAAACTACTGAGATCACTCCTACTCCTAACCCAATTCATGAAATCAAATCCACAAACAAGAAGAACCCAATTGAGCAAGAGACAAGTACTAGTATTTGTGTGTCGAAGAAGAGCAAGGGACAACATGAGTGTCCAATTTGCTTCAAAGTGTTCTCATCAGGACAAGCTCTTGGGGGTCACAAGAGATCACACCTAATTGGTGCCTCTTCTGAGGCCAAAAACAACCAAAGTAGTGGTGTTGTGATTCAAAAGCCGATATCTGAAATCCGCGATCTTCTTGATCTGAACTTGCCTGCTCCTGTCGAAGAAGATAGTGGGCGCGTGCACGTTGAGTTCAAACCATGGTGGGTTGAAAGCAACCACAAGCACGAGGCCATGGTTGGTTTGATCTCTAATTGACGATGAACTCGACGATCATTCATAGTCCTAGCCTTGGTTTTCCATGATCAAAGTTTCTGTATCTTTGGTTTTGTCTCTAATTGATGATGAACTCGAAAAACATTCATAGTCCTAGCATTGGTTTGATCTCAAGTTGACAATGAACTTGATGATGATTCATAGTCCTAGCCTTGGTTTTCCATGATCAAAGATTTTCAAGAGTGTACAGATTCATTCATTCTTTACATAATTGAAGTGTTTGCCGAGGCGAGGTAACAATTCCCCAACTTGCTGCAGCTTAGGGCCTCTAAGTAGCCCATCTTCAACTTCCCTAGTTACAAGTTTTTTTTTTTTTTGGCTAATTTGTTTTGAATTTTCACATTATTTCTTATGTGTTTGTCAAGAGAATAATCTCATATTGTGTCAAATCTAAGCTCATTGATATGTTTTTACCTCATGAGTCTGTTAATGTTATTGAATTACATGCTTTTACTTGCAATCCAACTTCCATTATATATAGAGGGTAAGTTATACTTTTGACCTTTGTAATTCAACTTAAATTCACATTCCGTCCAAATTGAATGTTAAAACTCATGATTTTTTAACCGATGTCGGTCACAAGAGGAGTACACGTAGAAAAAATTAACTATCGTATGGATAAAATGACCAAATTAAAACCCAACTTCAAATCTAAAGCAAACATTGCTCAAATCAAAATGAAATTTAAGTTAAATTATAAAAGTTAAAATGTAACTTAACAATATATTTGTATTGAGAAGTGAACATGCTTTGGGGGAAAAAAAAAAAAAAAATTGGCAGTGAAGAGAGAAATGAGTGAGGTGTTGAAAATTGTGTTGGTGTGTGAAGTCATGAGGAAATTAAGGTATTTTTATTATATGTACACAAAGATAGCATGTGAGCTCATGGTGGTTGTTTAGTCACCTACCATAAAACATGACAACCCATCTTCACTTCCCTTTCCTCTTAAGCTTATTAGTGTACTAGTGTTGTTAATTGTATACATATTTTATTCCATAGACTATGCTCAATAGAAATATCATGATTTGATATTTATATAAAAAATATACTATTGGTCCTTCTAGTTTGAGAGAAATTTCATTTCAGTTCTTATAGTTTTAATTTCATCAATTTAAACTCTATCTTTCAAATTGTGTAACAATGTAATCCCCCAATCAATTATCATTAGAATTTTAAACTAAAAAAGATCACCGGCAACTCACTTGGGAGTTCTAATAATTCCTACACAAGAAATGTAAATGAATAAATTATTGTGGTAATCCTTGTAGTTTTTTTTGAATTTCACTTTGGTCTTTTTGGTATTGAGTGTGTCACTTTTCTTGTACAAATATTAATGGCGTAATAGAAGTACTACATTGAAACAAAATTAGAAGTGTGAGTTTTAAATTGATGAAATTAGAATTATAGGGACTAAAGTGAAACCTTGCCAAACTGTAGGGATTAATAATGTAATTTATCTTATATATATATATATATATTGGACCACTTATAATATTAGTTCATATGGGTTTATCTGCAGGATGTAATCAATGCATGCTGCATCTCTTTTTTTTCTTGGTTGAATAAATCATTTCTAATAGTTTAAAGCAACAGAGCCCCCAAAGTCTTCTCAAGTTTTTGGATCTGTTTAGTTCCAAACTCTCAATTTCATTTTCACTAAATTGAAGAGGCTCAATTCAACACAACAAGAAGTTTGAGAGTTGGGTTGGTGAATGGGATTGGGAATTGGTGCACAATCTTCACATTTTTAACACAATTTGGTTTATTTTCTGTTGGGTTAAACATTCTAGTCCCCCATCAATGGTATTTTGCCAAAGTTGACTTAATGAACAAAGCCTTATGTTTGTGTGTATATATTTGGACACTGCTAATGAATCAATGCATTGATGATAGATCAAACCATAAACTTAGAGGACAAGGGGGTGATTATTGTTTAACAATTAAATATTTTTAAAATATACATATTTGTCTCTATTATTAAGGTTTTTTTTTAAAATTATAAATAGCCATTCCCTATAAATTTAAAAAAAAAAAATTAGTCTATGGAATATCAAGTCAAAGTACAAAATTAAAAATTTTGAACAAAATATAACCTCCAAAAATAAGTTTATCACAACTTGGAGTAAAGTCAGCACATTAGTACTTGATTGTATTCGTTGAGGAAAATATTGTTCGAAATTTTAATTTTGATTTTATTGTAGATTCTTTTAACGACATGAACGGGTACCAAGTATAATTTAAGTGTGTCATTTCAATATGTCTAGTATAGAATCCTCCTATTGACTAAATTGTTCCGTTAAACTCATTAACGACTCAAGTGAAAATACTAAAATACTCTTATATAGAAATAACATCATTGTGCAAATCATTTTTATCATTTTTTTAGAGGCAATATTTTTTTTTTTTTACCTTCGTGTGCTTTACTCTGTGTATCTCACTTGTTATTAACTTGGACAGAATACTTAATAGTACACTTTATTCCACAATTTTTCGAATTGTATGGGGTAATTCACATATGAACCAAAACCAAACTACAAGAGAGGTAAAGTTAAATTTGTTCATATATATTCATCTTATTTTGCACTTTTTATGCCAATAGAAATTGATATTGTATTCTATACTTCCTTTTAAAATATTGTTAGTATATATATGCTCTCTCAACATTAGAATTATGTATCTCACTTCAAAAAATAATTATATTAGAATTATGGATCCATCCATACATCAGATAGTATTTTGATTTCAGTAGAATTATTTTTTATGAGCGTGATCACACTAGTGTTATTGTTCAATATATAAGAAATACTATAATAATCATCTATTTTTATGATTTGTGTCAGTCTAATTATCAACATTACATTGAAGATATATAAATAGTCAAACTTATTACGTTAACATTGTGTTTATAAATACAATAATAAATATAATATAATTTAAAAATATGATATGTGTAACCTTATTAATAGCATATTGTTGTTGCAGGATCCAGTTGTGTTGGTGGGAGAAGTAGTTATTTTAGTTGCTTTGGTTGTTGGCTGATGTGTTGCTTTAAAGAAGAAAGAACTGAGAGAGTTGCAACATTTGGTTAGGCTCTCACCAACTTCAAGGATATTTCTGTTTCTTTAAAAAATGAAAACAGGGCAAGTGGTGGGTAGTCCAAAAGTTATATTTTTTTAATATTTTCTTATTTTGGGGAAAATATCTTTAGAATATATTCTGTTTGATTTTGAATTTTTAAAAATAATTTTTGTTTTTTTTTATTTTTGTGTTTTTTATTTATTTTTAGTGATTTTTTTTTGTATTTTAATTAATTTTATTTAAATATATCTAATCTAAATGTACCTAAAAAGTAAGATATTTGTAAAAAAAAAAATCTTTTAAGAAAATTAATCTATACAAAAATGTAATAAATTTTTTGTATTTAGTGAATTTTTAAAAAAAAAATATTTATGAATTTTATATTTTTTAAGTGTATCTAGATTAAGTAAATCTAAAAAAAAATATTAAATTATTAAAAAAATTGACTAAAAATAAAACAATATGAATTTAAAGCTCAAAGAGTATTTTTAAAAAATCCAAAACCAAATTAATGTAATTTTAGAATTTTCAGACAATGTCCTTTTTCAAAATATTAGAAGTTGTACATTACTATGGTAATATAGAATATTTGCTCGTGGCATTGTATATAAGGTTGTGCACGGTGTGGTTTGAGTAATTTGAGAATAAAATTATAAATTGAATAGCGGATTAACAAATTGTGGTTTGAATGGTTTTGAGCAGATAGACGGATTGAAAAATATTCTAACCAATTATCAAGTCTTTGCATAATATATAACACTAATTTGCAAAATATTTTTCATATATATAACACAAACTAATTTTACATAATATTATATATATATATATATATATATAACTACTAATTTGAAATAAATTTCACATCTTAAATATTTTTCACTTTCACACTCATTTTATTTTGATATTTCATTATAAGTTAAAAAATATATATGTATTAACTATAGCAGAACGGAGCGGTTTCGAACAATTAGCGAATAGATCGGTGCGAATTGATGCGGATCGGTATGATTTTAGCCGATTTTATGGTATTTTGCATAACCCTAATTGTATATGACATACTCTAAAAAAATTTGGACTTAAAAAAAAAAACTAGCATGCTCTCAAGCTCATGTGGTTTATCCATGAGTCTCATAAATTTTGTTTGAGTAAATTAAGCATAGCTCTTTTGAGTAATAAATAAATTACAATTAGCTCATATTTTTTATATATTTATATCATTTTTTTAAATTATAAATTTTATAACACTTTAACATATACAATTTGTCATCGCTTAGTCAAACAGATGAAAAATGATATCATTATTCATTAAACTAAATCGCCTAGTTTACCACCCTTCATTGTTTTTATATCCAAATATTACTTATCTCCATACACTCGTGTTCTATATTTGAATAATACACATTGATGAGAGAATAGAGGTAATTCGACAAATTCACTAGATAAGAGGGAGAGTAATTATATTATTTGACGTCAATACATATTTAAATACAAAATATCTAAAAATAATGCTGTAATTTTATCACCTTCATTAACAATGTTGAAGTGAAGTCTTTATTATTGTAAAAGAGTCAATTTAATTTTATTAAAATTATTGGATTAATTGTAATTTTTTTAATACTAGAAAAAAGATTAGTATAATTTATCCTTTCAAGTTTGATATAACATGACTCACCCATGCCTTATCATTCGCTCAAGCATTGTACAAATTCAATCAGATATGATCTTACCCATTGATCTAACTTGTTTGATTGATAAGTGTGGACTTATTTAAAATATTTTTATTTTTTTACCAGAAAAAATGTATGTTAATGTGGCACACATGTAATATTTCATTACTTAAAATCAACTAATCAAAGGAAGAACTTGAGAGAAGTCATGAGTCCGACCTCACTCATAAAACTCGCATTGAAGTTATCACTTCGAATATTTTTCCTTAATTTTTATTTAAGTGTCAATAGAATATTTGTCATGAGAGTTTAAATTGAATTGAATTTAAATAATAAAGCTAATCATTTTATGTTATACTTTTGGAAAATAATAAGTCTGACAATTAATGATTGGTTTGGAGGGTTTTTTTTTTTTTTTTTTTTTTTTTTTTTTGGGTACTATTTAAAAAAAAAAAATGATTTTGAGTATTTCTAGCATGTAGAGTCCACACAAAAATTGTCATTGAAGTGTTGAAATTACCTTAACTTTTGGGCCATCCCCAAGTTCAAGCAAAGAGGATTGTAACTTTGTTTATTTCATTCATTCAACTTTCATACAAAGTCAAATGGGTAGTTAAAGTAATGATAACATGTGAGTATCATGGGATGAATGAGTTGAGTTCAATTTACTTTATGAAAATTTATAACAAAAAAAAATCATTTTATAAAATAGTGATGATAATAATAAGAAGAAGAAGATGGCGAAGGAGAAAGGGAAAGGAAGAAGGAGAAGAAAGAAAAAAAATAATAATAATAATATCAAAATAATAGATTTGTAATTTGTTCCACTCTCCTCCACCCAAAAAAAAAAAGCACTAATATTTTGTTTTTCTTTTCTATTATATAAACAATAAAGTCTGAATTTTTTTTATTTATTTATTTTTGTACATGATAAGGTTTGAATATTGATGTGGTCATTAAATTAGAGTAACCTAATATTTTTACCCAAGAGAGAAAAGAGAATGAAGTAGAAGCTATATATATTTTGTATATTTCTTTTGTTTGATTTTAAAAATGAGGAAAAAGATGAATATTTATTTGTAAAAAAAACAAACTTACTTCTTGTTTAGTTATTGATGCATTTCACATCCATCAAGATAATTTATAAGATGATGCAGAATACTTCTATTATGGCATATCTTTTGGGTTGAAACTCAAATTAGGCCGAAGTGATAACACTTCCAAGTGGAAGTTGGGCCTCATGTGGTATGACAGTTAGGCCTTATTTGGGATAAATCAAAAAAAGTTAAAAAGTCAAAAAATTATTAAAAAAATTAAAAGTCTATACTATTTAAGAGTAGCTTGTAGGGGAAGTCACTAAGGAAAAATTATTATGTTGCCTTTTGAATTCAACTACCCCAAAAGTCAAAAAATTAAAAGTCAAAAAGTCAAAAGGGTAAAGTTGTCATTTTAATTTTATTACAATATTTTATTACATATCTTTTCGTAAAAAATTAAAAAATTATCCCCAAACATACATTTTTTTCTCTACTTTATTAACTAGAAAGCCAAAAAATATACTTATATAACACATCCCACACAACTTTGTCCTGCCTATATCTAAGTGGGGGTGTTGACATGCTATGTTATTTAGATTGAACTTTTAAGATAACACATGACATTTTAGAGACAATGTGACATACTTATGTCAAAATAAGATATTGGCATTCTACGTCATTTAAAATGAATTTAGAGACAGAATGTCATGCCTATGTCAAGGTAAAGATGTTGGCATTCTACATCAATGAACTTATAAGATGATAAACTCCTTTTAAGTTGAACTCAAGGAATAAACTCGTGAAAACAATTATAATCACTTTTTGTTCCAAAAAAAATAAAAAAGTATAATCACTTAAAAAATATTCTTTTTATTTATTTATTTATTTTGACCAATTAATAATGCAATCATAATGTCGAACCACCAATGTAATATTCTTAATCTTATCATGTCATATTCTATCCCACGATTCAAGCAAAGACATCTCTTGTTCTTAAGGTTTATTTTGAATGGGATGGGTTGTTTTATTTGTTTTGGTTTCATTTCAAGACAAAACTTGAAGCCATGAATGCCCTTTCCAACTTTCTTTGAGATTTCTTACGATTAAAATAGTGTTTGATTCATTAAAACTGTGTGAAATGAAATGATTTATCAAAATATTTATTTTCATATTTAATTAACTAAGAAAATAACGAAAAACACATTGGAAATAAAATTATCATTAGCTATTATAAAGAAATAATCATTCTATAAGAAAAATTACAGTATGACCATTTCATTCAATAAAACACGACAAATTTGTCTTATTTGCAAGTAAGTAGCAACTTTAACCCCAAGGGATTGCCCTGATAAATGATGCTTGAAACTTAGGGGTTTGCTCATTCTAAGGTCTCAGGTTTGACTCTCCTCATCAGTAACCGCAAGGAATTAACCTATTTCAAAAGGTTTGTTTGGGTCACAATAACTTAGTTTTGTGTGTGTAAGCTAGCCCAAGGATATCTACATATCAAAAAAAAAAAAAAAAGAGAGAGCAAATTTTGCCCTGTAGTTTGGAGTGCTATTTTACCTGTGTTTAATATTTTACATGAGACCTAACAAATTAGGATATATTTATGATGTTCTTGCATGCTTAAAAGTAAAAATAAAACCTAAGAGAAGGTAGCTAAGCCAGGAGTTGAACAAATTGATGAACATCTAATCATTTTTGGATGATGCAGCGAATTTTGTCGAGTCTCTTCTTATTGCAGACATGATGGGTGTTGTTTATGTGAGGGTTTAACTCGCAAATTATTTGTTAGTAAAAAATTTTTTTAGGCACAATTGACAATGTCATACAAATTTATCAAACAAAAAAACTAAGCCATTATGTGAAATTTTAATGTCTTAATAGATGTATGATTTTTTTTTAAACTATGAGAAGACAAAAGAACTTGCAAACAAACTACAAAAAAACAAACTTTTAGTTGATAATTGCCTAGGTTACATTGAAATTGAAATGGTACATTTTAACAAGTACAACTATTTTCTTATTTTGAGTCTAATATATTTGGAGTTTTGAGACGCACACAAATATATATAGATATATATATATATATCTCTTTTTTTTTGTTTTCTCTCTTCCTCGACGAATGTCAACTGCTAATCACAATTATCAATTTTTGTAGTTTGTTTCTCATTTTTTATTCATAGATAAATACTCTCTAATATCTTGTAATCGCCACTTTCCCATCAAATTTATAAAGTTTTGCCACTTGTCACTTCGTAGCTTTTCTACCAAAACTACTTCTAATTGCCTTGATTTCTCACAATTGCTTTTTTATCTTAAAATTTTAGACGCTTCATGTGCAACTTACTTTTAGATTGTCATGTATTTTTTTTAGTACTAAGATTTTTATGTACCCTTCGCTTAATCATATTTCTCATGTGTTTATCTTATCAAATACTATTTGAGTATTTCTTTTCTTTCTATGAAGTTTCGTTTTGAATAAAAAACTGATTGAAAAAACAAAAACTTAAGGTTTGTTTTTAAAAAAATAATTTTTTTTTATTTATTACAAAAAGACTTATAAAAAATAGATAGATAATATGATCTAAATAAATTAATCAACTAACTCTTTTTTTTTTCTTTTTTTTTTTGACACTTCTCGAAAAGGCCTTAGTTGGCCCAATGGTTCAAATTTGAATTTGAATAATGTGAAATTGGTTCCAAGAGTGAAGAATCAAGGTGGGGAAATAGTTTTGGAAATTGGATCCATATCCATTGTACAATTGCAAAACATCACATCACTTTGGTGGGGGCCACTGTGCCACATCATTAGTGATGCTCTAGAGCTCCCAATTTAGTGCTCTAAAATATTATTCATTTGAATAATGTGAAATTGGTTCCAAGAGTGAAGAATCAAGGTTGGGAAATAGTTTTGGAAATTGGATCCATATCCATTGTACAATTGACCCGATCCGACCCATTTTGCCAGCTCAACCCACCCACCCACCTAACACATTTCAAATTGATGTTGAGCTGTACTCTTCTATATTTCTTGATCTTATTCTCTCTCTCTCTCTCTCTCTCTCCAACGAAGAACAACAATTCATCAAAACTCTCAATTCCAAATTTCCCAATTCGATTTTGACGCAAACCCTAGAAAGAAACAGGTCTCTGTCTCTGTCTCTCACTCTCTCTCTCTCATTCCAAATTTTCTTTTATCCAGTTATTGTTTTGAATGTATTCTGGGTTTTAACTTTCTTGAGTTCTTTTTTCGTTTTTTTGAAAATTGAAATAAATATATTGCTTTTCCACACGGTGGATTGTTTGTATTTCTGTTTTGTTAATATCGTGCTGAAGATTTGGGTTGATAAATCGGTGGACTGGCCTTTTGGGCGATTATTTTTGGTTAGGGTTATGAACTGGATTTAAATTTTGATTTTTTACTCTGCATCATACTTTTGATTGAGCATTTCATGGATAGTTCATGTTTTTTTGGCATTTTTGTTTGTTTTAAAGAGCCCCCAATATTAAAACCCTCAAATAAAGCACCCACCCACATGTAAATCAGAGAAGAGCCTCATATCCAAAGTATAAAAAAGAAAAAGGGTGTATAGAATACGCAACATTATGATTCTAATGTTGTCTGTTTTTTGTTAATCAGGAGAGGGATGATGTGGTCATGGTTGTTGTTCATTACCCTTTTTTCTTCTTTTTTTTGGCACGTACATGCCGGTGGGAAGGGATTCTGGGTGGGGATTGCCTTAGGATTCTAGGAATTAAATTCTAGAGTTAATGGAGTTCATTTCATTTACTAATTTAAGAAGTAAATGTAGGACTGTATGTCTAATTGAAGCAACATTTGCAAGTAATATATTCATGTGTATATAGAGCGGTGGCGGGGGGGCTCCTCAACTGTTGCATTTTTGGGAAGCTTCCTTCAAATCATCCTGTATTTTGGAATCATCTTCTTTTGTTTGAACTCTATTGTAATCTTCCTGTGTTGGGATCATATTGTTTTGAGCTAATCATTTGTGATTGGTTATTATAGAATGTTGTTCATAAAGGGATTTTGCTTACCTTTTATAATTTTTTATGAAATTTTTATGTGTAGATGTCTAGTCAATCCAGCAGTGGTAGTGAAAACTCCTTCGAAATTGAGGAACTATTACAGATTAGGACAAGATGTCAAGAGGTATGAGCCTTGTAGTATTTCCCTTGTGATGATATGTTCTTTTCATTAGAGCATCATATGTACAATTTTATAAGAGTTGTTATTCCAGGTTTGAATAATACCCCAGGGTTTCTCCACTGTTCATATTATTTTGCAAATTTTCCATATATGAATGGATTATGTTACATATGTAATAATTTGAATAACATAAGAGAAATATGAATGAATTGATTGGTAAAAAAATTTGAACTTACCTATGCATCTTTCCTTCCAATATATCTGTAAGATCAATTTCCACACCTTTGATTTTTGTGATATTTTAAAAAAATATTGGCTTATTTATGTCCGTCTAGTTGCCTATTTTTCAAATAATTTGTGTGGTTATTTGCAACTGTCATACTGATCAAGTCCTCTGTCATTTTTCCAATGTAGCTAAGGAAAGAGAAGGACATGTTGAGAGATTCACAATCTCAAAGTTTCGAACTGATCAGAGTAATTTATTTTCTCTCGATTACTATGCTTCTTTTTTTCAATAAATTTTTCATATTTTGAACCTGATTCATTGTTGTTGCTTTGTTCAATATTTTTGACATGTGGATTTTTTGGACCTCCTCTATAACATAATTGCTAATGGTAGAGAAGTACTATCTAATGATAAATACAGAAAATGCATCCCAACTGACAAATGTAGGTGATAGTGTGAAAAAATGCTAGTTCAAGTCTTTAGTCCATATTATAATTTTTTTATTTTTCTATTTTTTATTTTTTGATAGCTCAGATTTACTGCCGGGTGTGACATAAAACACATAGGTGCCACTCAAATTGCGTGCGATGTTTAAACACAATTTAATGATTGAATTTAAAGGGATGGACATTGCTTCTCTTTGTTCCCCTATAATAATGTCGGGTTAAGTTGGATGTCATTAAGACTTTTAGAGACATATTTTTGTAGTGGGTGGATAAATTAAAATGTCATTATTAGCTAGAAAAAAAACTCCCCAACTTAATAAATACTTTGCACTAAATTTTTATCTTTTCTTGCTCAACTTGCAAGTTGGTTGCCAAAAGAATAGAGGCCAAACCGCTCATAATTTTTCAGCTGAACTATCTATAGACCTTCATGCCATAATTTCCCATGTTTTCTTCTCTGCAGGTGCTGAGAGAAAAATCTCTTCTTGATGCTACTTTCTTAAGCTCTGGATGGCTTATATTTTCATGACCTTAATGGAAAAAAGGGGTGGGAAATGGGAGAAGATGGGGAATAATTGTACTCTTCACATCCAATTGGACTAAATGGGGGGTTGTCTAATTGCCTTTGTGTCATGCTTCCTATCTCATCTTTTGTCTTCTTTGTCTCAAGCCTAGAGACATGTGGAGGGTTGGAACTTGGAAGTAGACAACTAACATAAAGTAGAGTATACAAGTCATAAAATAGTAACTTATGTGCATGTATTTTAATATCCAAGTTTGAGTGTTTCCTACAAATGAATTGCCTACGGCTTTTCAAAGAGCTAGCTGGAGGGGAGTCGGGATTGGCCTTTGTTAAAGAGTTCAATTTTCTTACATAAAGGCAAAGAACAAGGGAAGAATAAAAACAAGGGAACCAGGGGCAGATTCTGTAAGAAGTTTAGGTGACTGTTAATTGTTAATCATGAAAATAGGACTGAAGCAAAACTTTAGGGATACTTTCTGTCAAATGATCTAAATATGGACTTGGTTTGGTGTAGAGTTTGGAAGCACATGCGAAGACATTATATAAAGCCCGCGCAGAAGATGAGAAACACATCCAGGAGCTGGAAAGGGAATTGAAGAACTGCTCTCAAGAAATAGGTAATGATTAGGATTCTAATTGTATTGTTGACATCCCTAGTTTCTCTGGTTGTCTATAGAAGAATTGCTATCAAGAAATAGGTAATAACTAGAATTCTAATTGTATTGTTGACATGCGTAGTTGCTCTGGTTGTATATAGAAGCAGCAAATAATTTCACTTTGGATGCATTTTTTTCTTTGTTTTTAATAATTTTTCTAGTATGCCAGTTGTGGGTGCTGATTTCACAGGAGTTAGTGGAAGGAATTTTCTCTTGGTCACCACCACAAACCAGCTTCCAGGAAACTATTTTATGTAGACTGAAGGTTATGAACATCATTTCCAGTGTTAGAAAATTTTGTTTTGGTGGAACTTTTGAAGCTGGGTGCAGCCTCTATCTTCCTAACTTTGGCTTTAATAAAATCTTTACCTTAAAATAAATTAGCCGATTGATGTAGGGGACAAATTTGGGGTTGTTTGGGTGTTGTCAACAATACCTATGAACAGTAATTAAGGGTTGGTTGTATTACTTTAGATGCTAGGGTTGAATGTTTTATGATGGAGGAAACTAATTATAAAGCTCAATAACTTGATGGAATTTGAATAAAGAAAAGAGGAAGAAGCCTAGGAATCACTCCTAGAATCCCTTAGGCATCACTTCTTGGGGTAAGGGTTGTGTCACATAAACCCATAAGAGCTTTAGAACTCTAAAAGAATTCTTAAAAAAATTATCTCCTTTGAATTAGAGACATACATCACTTTATATAGACTTTGGAGATTTCATACACCAATTAGGATTAAGATTTCTAAAAAGGAAACTACTAAAATTTTGACATTTTAAACCTATCTAATACCAAATAAGACCCATAAACTTAGTAAGATCAATAACAAGACCCATGTGTCAGCAGTGCCACCTGTTCCAGCAGTTTCTCAAAATTTAAAAAATGCCCTACATTAAAATCATTAAGAACCTATAACAAAACTCAAATAAAACATAAATACTATTAACACAGACTCGAAGCTAAATTATTCTAGATCCCAAGTGGGCCCGACATCATCCAACACATGCCAAATCAATGTTTGAGCATTAGAAGCATTTTTGTCATGCTGTTTTGTGAACTTCTGTATCACGGTGTCACTTATTTCCATCATCGATAGTCTAAAGGAACTACAACCTTGGAGTGACTATCTAGGGAAGTTTTCATTTTTTGCCCTTCTAGCTTCTCTCCCCAAAAGTAAGTCATGTTATTTTGTGCTATTGGTTTAAAATTAATTGATGTAGATAATTAGAAAGTATCTTTTTGTTTGTTGTGTCAGATTTTTTGTTTTTTTAATATAAGGAGTCAATATAAGGGTGTACATCCATGCTATACATATTCTAATTATACATGGATTAGCACAAACAATTTACAAATCTGAGGCTCCATAATGAGATTGTTGGTGCCAACTGTCAAGAGTTCAGCCATCTAATGTTGGTTATCATGTAACATTTGGGATTTTCATGTTGTCTACACCAGTGCAGTTAGGTGGTATATATAGTGACACTTGCTTATTGGTGTTAACATTATATCTCATGAACTACTCCAGCTGGCTGGTTGCTGTCCTCTGATCCTGACTTTATGCTCCAAGATTGTTTTATCCAATTATAACATTCCTTACAGATTACCTGCAGGACCAACTAAATGCAAGGAACGATGAGGTATATTGTCTGGGTGAGCATGTACATAGCCTTGAGTTAAAACTCGCAAATATGGAAAGTTTAGAAGAGAAAGTTGGCAGGTTAAGGGAAGAACTGAAGTGGTCCAATTCAGAGCGCTTGATTTTAATGCAGGAATTAGAGAGCAAAGAAGTGGAAATACGGCAATCAGCTGCATGCATCGAGAAATTAGAAGAATCAATTTCACCTGTTTCACTGGAGTACCAATGTGAAATAGAGAGCATGAAGCTTGATTTGGAGCAGAATTGTTTTGAAGCTAAGAAATTCAAGGAAGAAGCTGCTAGAGAAAAATTGAAGATGAATGAGTTGATTCAGGATTTTGAATATCAGATTCAGGATGCACAGAAGGTTATTGAATGCTTAAATGAGGAATATAAAGAACTAAGGGAGAAGCTCGAAACATCTGAAAAGAATGCAAGAGTATTTTGTCAAAAGATGGAAGAACAATTTGAAGAATGGCTAGAAAATGATGGACCTCAATTAAATACTCAACCATTATCACATGAACTAGAAAAAGATGTTAGGTATGTCACAACCTCTATTGTTCCCCTTTTCTTATAGTTTAACATACAACCTGATCACATCTTGTAAACTATGTTAAAAAACTGACATATCTTCCATTTTGTTCTGCATCTTGTTTATGGCACACCTGCAATTTTTTTAAGCTAGCCATTCAATATGTTCTCACTCCCCCATTCTAATTTTTGAGTCATCAGTTATATGTGTGGCAGATACAAAATTTATAAAGCGGAGTGTTTCTTTTATCAGATATTGCTTGATGTGGGTTGGGGTGGAGTTAATCTTTAGATTCTCTTACTAGGGTGATAAAAAAAAAAAAAAAGGTGACATGAGCCCTCTTCTGTGGAGCTATTTGATTGGTAGTCCTCTTTGTTGAAGAAAATTGAATTCTCCAGGCATGTTTGTATTCTTTGTAGGTCATTTTTATGTTACACGAGTCATAAGATCCTATAATAAATAAGGAAATGCAATTTGTATGACATGGTTATATTAGAGAAAATTCAAATGAAAACAGAGGAAAATTTGTTGATGGGATGATTTGTGTGGAATCAACAAGTTTAAGTTTTATACTTGACAAAGTCTCTGCTAAATCAATTTAGCTTCTCTTGCATCTACTTTTAAAGCCTTGAAATTCTTTCTCTTGACTAATATTTTTTAACCTAGCTCACACGAGACATCAAACTCTTCCAGCTAACGAGTCCTAGTCAAATGTTGTGTTTTTGTCATGCTGGTTTTGTTTTGTTTTGTCTTGTTTCTTTTCTATTCTGCGCCCCCCAACTATCCTAGTCAAATGGCTATATTTACATGTCCACGTTCATGATCTTATTGGTATTAGAGATTCCATCTTTACATCCTTGTTGTATTTGCAGCACTTGTGGTGACATTCTGGGTCCACTACTTTTCAGACTGGCAGTTGATGCAGCTTTGAAGGACAAGATGGATAAAATGTCATGTCAGATCCTCGAATATGAACTTCTTTTGAAACAGCTTAAGGTATGATCAGTTGATATCTGTGGAATCACATTTACATGCAGGAGATCAGTTTCTTTTGTAGCAATCAACTTGGTTTAGTTTTGATTCAACATAACTTCTTATAGCAATTATAAAACTGGTTGCTAGGAAGAACTAAGAGCAGAAAAGTTAAAGGCAAAGGAAGAAGCAGAGGATTTGGCTCAAGAAATGGCAGAACTAAGGTACCAAATCACAGGGTTGCTTGAAGAAGAGCGCAAACGCCGTGCTTGCATTGAACAAATATCTTTACAGAGAATAGCCGAATTGGAGGCTCAGGTATTGACATTTAGATTTGATATTTTTTATGTCTCTCAAAGAAAATTTTACTAAAGGTCCTTAAAACCTTTTTCTTGTCAAGATTCAAAGGGAACAGAGGAAAACTTTCAGTTCTGTCAAGCTTATTCATGAAGCATAGAAATTGGTTGCATCCAAACCATGGGATGGGGGTTCAGCATTTATGAAATGTATTAAGAGGTTTGTTTTCTTCATAATATTCTTAATCTGCGCGATCTTTTTGCATCTTGGTGTTCCTAAATCCTAACTATCCACTCTTTTTTTGCTCAGTCCTCTGTTATGGTAATACATTTATGATAATAGGTATCCATAGAGTTAATCTTCTGAACCCGCTTTAAGCCTTAAATTTGTTTTATTTTTTGGTTCTAAATGATTTAAGTGTTGCATGTTCTTCTTATAAGTAAGGAATTTTGGCGAAACTGCTTTGTTATTTTCCTAAAGGATGTGTTTTATAAGGTGGTTTCAGATTCTCATAATGCTTTTGCTGGGGTTAGTGAGATTTTGGATATGGTGTTGGTGGCAAATGAGGGGCAGAATCCATATCTAGAAGTGGGAGTCCAGGTCTTATTTGTAAGTTGGATTTTGAGAAAGCCTACAATTAGCTCTGCGTTGAACCATTTGCATATGTAGCGAGTTTGGCATCTTATTGCAACGGATTTGGTATTTGAATGCTTGCATCTCACTTGTCCAGACTGCACATGTGGCCTGGTCCATACATACTTGTTACACTTGCTAGCAAAGGGTTCCACTCTCTCTCTCTCTCTGGTCTTTCGGCATGACATAAAAACCCCTGCAATCTTCAGAATCTAATTGGCCATTTCTAGTGGTTTTTTATAAGCAACAGAATGGTGATTATGGTCAATTTTTCATGGCCTATTAGATTTGCAAAATGGGCCCCAAGAACAAAATGGAGAAGATCTCTCATTAAAATAAAACCATATACTCTTCAGTTTTGTTATATATAATTCATATGCATTTATTCGACATCAAGTTTGATGTCTAGTCTTTGCAAGCTTAGATTAGCAGTGACAATATAGAAATATATAATCCTTTGTCCAAAGCCTCTACAACAATTGCTCTTGACATATATATCATCAATTGCCACCAGTTGAATTGCAAGTATGCTTGTTTAATTTTTCAAGTTATTATAAAAATGATTCTCTTTGTACCTATTATGTCAGATCCATTTTCAGTATACCTGTCTTAGCCCAATAAACTCTTTTTAATTCAAACTTTGTTACAGGAGCCAACACATATGTACTTCATACTCTTAGAATTCGAGAAGCTGTATCTTTGATTTGGTCATGCTCGAAAATCTGCAGTTCTAAACCCCTGCACTGGCCCACAAAGATTCTGATAAAAACAAGACTGTACAGCTGCACAGAATGCAAAATTCAAGGGTTTTCTTAGGGGTTGCTTTTTAGAGCCCTTAGAAGCCAAAACTTCAAAATTCCGTACAACAGACGTTGCAGAACTCCACAGGCTCAAAGATATACAGAACGATGAGGTTGTGACGTACGCGCGAACGATGTGGATGGGTTGTCTAGTGAAGAGTGAATTGTATTTATGCAAAGATATTGTTTTTGTCGTGTGTTATTGGATTGTTTTTAGCAACCATCAGCTTCTTCAAGGATTATGGTTAACAGTTTTTGACACTGTATATTGAATATTCATATAGTAAGAGAGTGGGATGGAATACATAGTGGTTGATGCTGCTGTTTTTGTTTGAAGATGATATATGCAGGTAATTATTCAGTGATCTTGGATAAAATTTTTACAAGTAGAGCAAAGCTGACCTTACCTTAGTTAAATAGTGAGACAAAAGATGATTTATCTTTTGTATGTTTTTGCGATGGAAAATATTATATATAATCGTATTTCTTGTCCCAGTTTCACACTCCAATATACAAGCGAGTGGATCGCATATGCATTTATGAATATGGATCTTATTGCTTTGTGTGTAGGAATAAGAAAATGAGATAAGAAATGGGATTAGATATATTGCTTTTTTGCGATTATAATATTGCATTATAATTTGAGAATATCTAATAATTTTGCAATGTAATATAACTATTTGTTTCCTTTTAATCCAAGGCGTTTCCTTCATGGCATGGTTTAAATTTACAACGGGAGCAAAATAGAAATAATTTTTTAAACAAAATTAAGCACTTAAAATGAAGTTATTTTGTTTTAAGCCCAAATTTGGGTCATTTAATTACTACAATATAAGGTCATGATTGAAGAAGTCAAGACAAAAGAATATTGATCCAACTGTTGTACCTTGGTCAAGTGTGGAAACTATTAAAATTGTTATAAATGCAGCCTAGACTTTGCCACAACTTTGAACTATTGAAATTGGGATAACTTTACACTCAGATCCCTCGAAATGAATATCATTTTATCTTTTTTATTTATAAATTCATATATATTGATCTCTTTAATTGTAAAAATCGTACAAATATACTCATTCAAATAATTTTAATCTTTTTATTTATTTATTTACTTAGTTCACACTGTTTAATTATTATAATGCACTCATCGTCAACATTCAAACGCTATTTTTAACTTGAACCCATTAGCCACCAACACTTGTTACCAGGGGTGGTTCCACCACATGGCCAGGGGTGTCACCCGAACCCCCGGATGATTTTTTTTTTAAAATTTTTTTATTATATAAGTATTAGATTTTGGGAAAAAAATCAGCAACTGAACTCACTAAAATACAACTTTGAACCTATAGTTTTCAGTCCCAGAACTTTCAACCCACCAATGAAAAAAAAGCTTACTTTTGACTTTTGCCTACTTTTTGTTTAAAAAATTTTATTTGTAAAGCTATCTCTTTCTCTTGTCTACTTTTTATTTAAAATATTTTATTTGTAAAGTGAATTTGTCTTCAATTTACACTTAATGAAAAATATATTGGGGATCACACATGAGTTGTCATTAGCACTACAAAGAAAATATCAAGATATTGTAAATGCAATGACATTAGTTAAAGTGTCTAAGCAACGATTGCAAATGATGAGAGATGATGAATGGGAATCCCCATTGAAAGAAGTGTATTTATTTTACGGCGAACATAATATTCCTACCCCCAACATTGACGATGGATTTGTTGTAGCTTGTAGGAGGTCACGCAACAAAGCTCCTGAAATCACAAATTTATACCACTACCGTGTTAATATCTTCTACACTGTTATAGATATGCAACTTCAAGAGCTTAACAACCGGTTTATAGAGGCAAGTACAGAGTTGCTTCCATGCGTGGCATACTTGAACCCCAATAATTCATTTTGTGCTTTTGATAAGCAAAGGTTAATCCATCTTGCTAAATTCTATATTTTTCTACGGTAGATCTCATGACACTTGATAATCAACTTCAGAACTACATTGTTGACATGCGCTCTAGCAATGAATTTTTTGAACTCAAAGGAATTGGTGACCTTACTAGAAAGTTGGAAGAGACAAAGAAAGACATTGTATATCCATTAGTCTATTTGCTTGTGAAATTGGCGTTGATTTTATCAGTTGTGATTGCAACAGTGGAAAGAGCATTTTCAGCAATGAAATTCATAAAGAATCGATCGCATAATCGAATGGGAGATCAATGGTTAAATGATTGTTTGGTTACATATATTGAGAAAGATGTGTTTGATAGTGTTGATAATGAGCTTATTATGCAACGATTTCAAAATATGAAATCTCGTCATGATCAATTATAGAAGCTCGTGTATTAGCATGTCTATTTATTTAAAGAATAGTATCAATATATTGAAATATTTTTGTTTATAATTTTAGAATTTAAATTAATTTGTTGATTTTTTTTCTCCATATGTGATATAATGATTAATGTGAATATTCTGTAAGATATATGACATTTAAGTTTTTCATTGACACCACTGACAAAAATTCCTAGAGTCACCACTGCTTGTCACTCACTATTGCCCTCCGCAACCCCATCGCTAACACCCTTGCCTCCACTCTCCTTACCTCATCCATCATTGTCTCTCTTCATCAGCCCTACCTCCTCTCCCTTCTTCAAATTTGAAAACTTCCTCCATAGCCACTGTCATTCTTTTTCTTCTTCTTCTTAAATCTAAAACTCCTTTCCTTTTTCTTCTTGGATCTAAGAGGGTCACAATTAGGGGTCGTCAAATGGCCCGCTAACAAAAAGCCTAGTATTACTTAACCCATCCCATGGCCTGTCCAAACGTGCTTGACTACCCAGCCCATCCCATCTCATTAAAGATGATTTAGGACTTTGGACAAAGATTCGAAACTGAGCCTACTTATGAACCCAACCCGGCCTGTACAAGCTCGCATGGGTAAATCTAGCCTGACCATCCCATTAACCTGAGTCAAACTATCCTATCAAAAAAAAATAATAATAATATTATCTAAAAAAATAACACTATTAAATTTAATTTTAATCCATTAAAATCAATATTGTTCCATTTATAAAAAATAAAATAAAAAAAAATAAAAAGACAACAATTGACAACCCAAATTATACTTTAAAAAATAATAAAAAGTAGGAAAAATTAGTCTAAGGTCCCTCTCCCATTTTTAGTAATGAAAGAGATCCAATAGATTATTTAATGATGTCTAAGGTCCCTCAGCCCCCGACACCCATATATCACTAAGAAATTTGATCCCTCAAATCAAACTGCGTCTCCCTCTCTTCCTCTCTCTGCTCTTCTCTCTCCGACGAACTCTACCTCCATCGCCGAAGTTCATCGTCGTCATCGTCTTCTCCAACTCTCTTTCCCCCATCAAACAAAGCTCAAAGCATCCCAGAGAAGGAAGAGCAATGAAGAAAAAGCTGGTCTCCAATGGCGCCGTCATTAGTCTTTGAATTTCTTCACCGAATTGAAGCAATTCAACTCTGATTTCTTCAATTTTCTCTCCGTAACTTGCGGATCTAATTTCAGTACCAGAAATTTGCATGGAAATTCGCCGGAGATCGACGAGGATCTTCATAGTTGTCACCATCAAAGCTGATGATGGAAGTGATCTTTACAGCAGTGGTTATGTTGATCCATCAAAGAAGTGGATATCTAGCAAAGCTGTTGTGATCGTTCTGTTAATATGTGGTCTTCTCACAACTCTGGCATTTACTGCTTCTATTAGAGTATGTCTTGTGAGTGTTGGCTGATAATATAGTTTGTATAATCTAATCTAGGAATGTGGAATACACAGATTGCATCTTGACATCATTGATTGAACTATTTTTGGGACAAACATGATCTTAGTTTACTAAATCACACTACAAGAAAATAGGGTAAAAAACACGGAAGCATTTGCGACGGTGCGTTCCCCGTCGCAAAAAATGGTTTTTTGCGACAGCAAATTCAATCGTCGCAAAAAGGAGTTTTAGCGACGGCGTTTACCCGTCGGTAATAAAACTACACTGGCAGGTAATAAAATGCAGAAATATTAGCAACGGCGTTTTTAACCGTCGCAAAAAACAATTTTTTGAGACGGCATAAGTTTGCTGTCGCAAATATTCGACAATTTGCAAAGGCAAATGTCCGTCGCGAAAAAAGGATTACCAAAACGGCGTCATTTTATTAACAATTATGTATCATTTGCGACGGTGTAAAACGTACAGTCGCAAAAAGTAAAAAAAAAATTACCCCGTCTTCCCTTTCATCTTGCCGCTTTATCAGGTGGATCGAAATCCCTAATTATTTGAAACAAAATTTTTTCCCCCAAAATCCCCAAACGAGCGATGGGCGACGAACGGCGAAGGGCTAGCGGTGGTGCGGCGACGACGAGCGACGAACGGCGAGCAGGCTAGCGGTGGTCCGGCGACGACGACAGCTACTCAGCGTATGCTCTCTCTCTCTCTCTCTCTCTCTTTGTCATTTGGGCCACCGATTTTTCAAATTCCCCAAAATTGTTTATGGATGGTTTATTGAACAACATTTTATGGATTGCATATTGAATTAAATATGGATATTTGTAAACTTTAGCCGTGAAACTTATCTTTTTCACAAAATTGATTTCATGTTAGGATTCTCTCTCTCTCTCTCTCTCTCTCTCTCTATACATATATATATATATATCCAGTAGCAATTGTTTTTGCAATTTTACATTTAAATTTTTAAGTGGTTTGAGGAATAACGAAAATCTTATAACAATTTTAGACTATTTGATTAATGATATGATACGGTTATTTAACAGAGAGGACATTCTTGGAAAGAAAAAAATGACAATGTTCACAACTCAAAATTGATATTAATGAGATAATATCATCTACAATTATTTAAGGTAGATGATGTTTTAGATATAATTCTCTCTTGAAACTTATGAAGGCGACTAATTAGTGGTAGTACTAATGAAAAAAAACCTCAAACTTTCTGGGCCTGTTTTATTTTCTCTTATCTCCAAAACCAACAAGTAATCTATGTTTCTATCTAAAAAGAAGGATTCATTGTGCATGATCTGCTTATAACTTGGCTTTTTATTTTTGTGTTGTCTAGTCTCCTAGTCCTTGTCAAGACCCAAGGGCACACATTAACAAAATCCTTTAATTTAATCACTCTTGTTTGCATTTATCAAGTTCCAATATGATGGGTGATTAATTAGTTTGGACCGGTGACCATAGGAATTTTTTTTCTTCTTTCTCACGTTTATGTGTATGTTTCAGCATACTTACTCTTTTCACATTTTAACATTAATTTTATGGATGTGTTGATGAGAAGAGCTTGAGAAGCTAACAAGAGCACAGTAATACCTTGGATTTTGTGAGTAGTA